TATATGTTCTATATATGTTCTATATATGTTCTATATATGTTCTATATATGTTCTATATATGTTCTATATATGTTCTATATATGTTCTATATATGTATTTTCATTCCTGTTTTCATCCCTGTTTTCTATATATTTTCATCCCTGTTTTCATCCCTATTTTCTATATATTTTCATCCTTGTTTTCATCCCTATTTTCTATATATTCTTGTATTTGTATTTATATTTATTGGTTTTATTTGATGCAGGCAAACTGAGAGAGCACGAATCCAGTGACAGTGGTGCTGAGAGCTATGAGAGCTCAGATTCCATGCTGCAGTCCTGGAACAGCCAATCCTCCCTGGTGGATTTGCAGCGTGTGCCATCCTATGAGAGCTTTGAGGATGACTGCAGCCAGTCCCTGTGCCTGAGCAAACCTACCATGTCCTTCAAAGACTACATTCAAGAGAGGAGTGATCCTGTGGAGCAAGGGAAACCAGTTATACCAGCAGCCATCCTGGCTGGCTTTACTGGTGAGTGCTGAGGCAAAATGGTCACTCCTATTTTTTATGTAACATCAGTGTTCCCTCCAAGCGTGTGCCATGGAGGTAGAGACCACTAGTCACAAATAATTTTAATTTTATCTGTTACTAAACAAAGTCTCAGGGATTATCCACCCAAAGCAAGAAGAGGCAGGCACATGAGATCAAGTAAAAACCAAATGCACTTTTGATCTGTTTGAAAAAGAGGGGAGCTTGGACAAAATCTCCCAGATTTGGAAATTCCCACAGGTGTTGTTAAGGCCTTGTTGCTGTAGTCCGTGCTGAAATTGGTTTTTTCCTGTAGGATCTTTGCCAAGCCAAAGACTTCAGGACAAGCCCTGGAGCTCAAAATGCAGCTGTTTGGGAGGTGGGAGTGAGGGTTAAAGGATCCATATGAGAGGGAAAGCCATAACTTTTGTCAAATCCTTTGTTTCCATGAAAAACATGACTTCATTTTCCCATGGGTAATAGCAGGTTTGTGCTATAGAGTAAAACCTTAGGTTTCTTTCTGATCTATAAAAAAGATAAATCAGATTAATTACCAGGTCTGTGATACAAGTCTGGTCACATACATTGCTTGTGGTTAGAGCTGGCAGAGGTATTAATTTGTGGTTTTTCTGTCTCCTCTTTCCCAACAGGCAGTGGACCTATCCAGCTGTGGCAATTCCTTCTGGAGTTACTGACTGACAAGTCCTGTCAGTCATTCATTAGCTGGACAGGAGATGGATGGGAATTTAAACTTGCTGACCCAGATGAGGTATGTGGCTAATTGGGGTGAAAACAAAGATTTTGGGGTCTGATCTGACCTCTGTGGGCCCAGTTTTGGATATAATGTGTGTTTAGCTGCACATCAAATATGGTAGTGCTGCTTTTAAAGTATTTTGGGAACTTCATTCATTAATAGTGATGCATTTTCATTTTCTGATACTGTTGCTAGTAGGAAAATTATTGTATTAAGAGATAAAAAGTCCAGTGAAACCTTTAGATTTAAGAAAAGAGAGGGGAGAGGAATAATGAACTGCAAGGAACTTCATAGCTTTGAACTTTCCAGTGAAGAGTTGTCCCCTGGTGCCTGATAGCTGATCAGTGGTAAACAGTGGTTTTTTGAGAGAGCAGATTGAGCCAGAGCTCCAGGAATGTTTGGACAAAACTCTCAGGCACAGGGTGGGATTGTTGGGGTGTCAGTGCAGGCACAGGAGCTGAGCTTGGATCCCTGGGGTCCCTTCCAGCTCAGGGTATTCTGTTGATTCCTGGGCTTGTCCTGTGCAGGGCCAGGAGCTGCACTGGTGCTGGAGTCACTGTCCCTCGGGGTGTTCAAGGATTAAAAACTGGATGTGGCACTCAGTGCCATGGTCTGGATGCCAAGGTGGTGTTGGGTCTTAGCTTGGCCTTCATCTCAAAGGCTTTTCCCAGCCTGGTTCATTTTGTGACTCCTTCCAGCTGAGGATATTCTGTGTTTCTTGGGGTGGTCCAGTGCAGGGCCAGGAGTTAGACTCTGGTCCCTGTGGGACACTGCCAGCTTGGGATAGTCTGTGATTTCTCCCAAAATTTGGCCTCTTTAAGCATGTTTTGGCCCATCCCCTACAAACTGGTGTCTGTCACAGTGAGGATACTGTGACAAACCTCTCTGGTTCCCTGACTTCAGGGTGAGGGTGGCAAAAATGAGAAGGAGCAAATTTGATGGGGTTGCCCAAAGGGAACTTTTTATTAAAGGATGAAAACAACAAACGTGGAGCACAGTATGAGGGGCAGGATCCCAAGACCTGAGATAAAGGGGAAGCAACAATATATACACTTGGGGTAGAACATTCTAGAACAATAACCACAGAGAGGAAACAAGTAAGGGGAGCAGAAACCTGGACAAAATCCAATAGGGGAGCAGAACATGGACAACTTAGCATAACAACACCAAAGGCTTCTGGGGGAACTCTCAAGCTCACCCTGAGTTTAACAAATGATTCCCAGGGCTTGAAACTCAAACCTGGGTCTTTTGGAGTAAAATCTGTCTGACTCTGGTCCAGCTTCCACTTTGCTGTCAGCCACCTCCTCCTGGAGCTTCTCGAGGTCTCTTGTGGGATCAGTCACCAACTCTTCTCTTGCAAGGCTGGGCCATCCAAAGCAAATAAACGCTTTAACTGAGGAAGGGTTTTCTTTAGTCAGACACTAAGAAGAAGATGAACTGAACAAATTCTGAATGAATTTTGCTTTCTGGCAGGTGGCACGGCGCTGGGGGAGGAGGAAGAACAAGCCCAAGATGAACTACGAGAAGCTGAGCCGGGGCCTGCGCTACTACTACGACAAGAACATCATCCACAAGACGTCGGGCAAGCGCTACGTGTACCGCTTCGTGTGCGACCTGCACAACCTGCTGGGCTACACCCCCGAGGAGCTGCACGCCATGCTGGGCGTGCAGCCCGACACCGAGGACTGATCCCAGAGCCTGGCAGTCCATCTGGAGTCACCAGTGGTG